CATCCATTCATTGTGGAATTTCTCTGCCGGGTGTCAGTGTTGCCGGCACAGTTCGTGCCTAGCACTTATAGGATTCTGACCGGCTTTATCGTCCGGTGTCACGATCTGGGGATCGCCCCGAGCGTCGACCGTTTCTTATACTGTTCTAGTTATCAGCCGTATTGGACCACAGGGTATCTGCGGCTGGTTGCCCACATTGACCAGACTCTATTTACTGATAACCCCACTCCTCCTGAGAATTGGGAAGAGCGCTTCTTGTTCGTCCATGTGGGCGAGCTACTCCCGTTCATTGATCGGTGGAATATATATCATGTTCAGGACACTGAGCCCAAACTCAATGCTGGGCTACTCTGCAAGTATGATCGGCTATTCTGGGATGGCTCCAAGAATCTCCGTTCTTACCTTACCCCCTCCAAACTCCTGGCCGCTGGCATTGGTAATCTTTTTGTTTTAAAAGGCCGTTCGGCACGTCCGTCTACCTTTTACTAATCAAGGTTTTTATTTTTATTTCTTTCAGGTGCAATTCCTTCCGGTTCTATGAAGCGTCCTGCCCCTACCCCTTCCTCAACGGTTCCTGCTGATAAGGGGAAGGGGAAGATTACTGTTGTTTCCAGGAAGCTGATTCCTCAGCAAGGCTCCTCTCCTAGTTCCGAACAAGCAAGGAAGCGTCCAAGGACTGAGAGTGGTGGTCAGCTTGTCCCGATCGATCATGTCATTATATTGACGGATCATGAATTGGAAACCATGCAGTCTGCTCCCTCTTCTTCCAAGAAGGGGGATTTTGTTGGAAAAAAGGATGATTCCTTATTTGCCAACTTCTTGATCAGTGATCGGTTGGCCGTGGAATTTTCTGCCATGGGCCCTCGAGCTGAGGGTCAGATGCTTTACGGGCAGACTGCATCCTCTCTTTAATTTGGTGCAACACCTCCCTGAAGGCTGGTGAGAATCTCACCAACCTGGTCCACTGGTCTGACCTGGTTGAAGCAGGCCACTTAGAAAGTATCAAGGTATGTTTATCATTGTTGGCTTTTTCTAGCATTTAGCCTTTCTTTTGTTTTAGACTGTTCTTAACTTAGTTTCCTCCTATTTCAGGTCGGTACTTATTATCACCGGGCTTTCCTTGCGGCCGAGCGGGAGATGATGATGCTAGCTCGCGAACGGGACGAAAGCCAAACCCTCCTCGCTGCTGCCCGGAAGATGGCCGCTGACCTCCAGGATCGAGCCACTAAGGGTGATAAAGCGGTGGCCGATCTAGCCGAAATGGAGGAGCGGATCCAGCGGCGCGATCGGGAAATCCGTGCCCTTCGTGCCAAGTTGAAGGCCGCTGAAGCCGCTGGCCTTAAGATTGAGAAGGCCAAAGGTGATAATCCCCCTGCCCCTTATACGGCTGATGTTTCTAAGATCACCAAACAAGCGGTGATAGATTTTCAAAGGGGGGAAGGGGCTGAACATTGCCCTGGAGAATACCGCTCGGAAGTTCCTCGGCAAACATCTTGGGGAATTCCTAGAAAAGTGTGAAGACCCCCTGCACGATGGTTTGAAGCTCCTGGACTCCACCCCTGCTGAGACGGCCTTTGCTAACGCCTTAGCTAAAGATACTAAGAACATTTCCAATGCTACAATGTGCACGGTGCATATGTGGCAAAAGAGGTATAGACACAAATTATTGATTTTATGACATTTCTCTCTCCTTCTTTCCACGGTCTTCAGGGGTGGATCCACTCATTAGTTATAGGGGGCAGCTGCCCCCAATAAACTGTCAATAATCAACCAAAATACACTAGGATTTTTTTAGTTCTCATCATTGCCCCCAATAGAAAAAATCAAATGCCCCCAACTCCACTCAGCCAGAATAAAATACAGAGTAACCCAATACAGCGGCGGTGCCCAAATGTAAAAATAATACTCGGTGCATGGTTCAACTTTTCATTAAAGTGTTTTTCGAAAGATATGCACTTGAAACCGTCACAAATGAAACTATAATAAATCTCTTTCAAAAGATCCAAACTCGAAGAAAGTAGTCATGATTTATTTTTTTGTGTTTTTAATATTGTAAACACTTTATTTAGTTCGGAAATTCTCATGTATGTACTTTATTAGAATTTTTTTTTGTCTTCAGATATATTTTGGTTAGGTATTTTTTCCATGACGTCATTATTAGTCTTCCCCCAATAGTTCGGATTTCTGGATCCGCCACTGACGGTCTTATGTGTTTTTGGTAAGTTTTTGTCTGCAATGTCAATCACAATGTCTACATCTAGACATTGTTCTTGACATTGTGAAGAAAAACTTACCAAAATGATGTATGATCCTTCAAATAAGGAGAGAGATATTCTATTTATTGTTTTTTAATTGGTTATTTCTCATTGCCACGTATGCATTGTTAACGTTTTAGCATTGAAGATGCTCTAATATCTGCAGTATTAATATTAGAGTGTTTAGACCACGTACTTTATATACAAATCACTTGTTAATTGTTATATTATCAGTATCTAAAATACACTTGTACACCTTTTTATCCCAAAAGTTCTATATTGTAACTCGGTTACAGTGATAAGGGTAGATAATAAACTTTTAGGAACACGTATTTAATACGTGACTAGAAGTGATATCCGGTCCAGTCATATTTCACACCCTTATATTTTACTAGTTTTATCCTCTAGTTGCTTGTTTATTGTTAGTTTAGATTTTTTTTTTGTTTATTTAGATTTCTATTTACCTTTCGTACTTCCTTAAAATCACATTATCTATATATAAATTTATACACAAACACCTAAAATACAAATTTGGGATTTAAGAATATAAAAAACCAACTAGAAACATAAAGAAACAATAAAAAAAAATCAGAACTATCAACAAAAGGAAACAAAGAAACAATAGGAAACAAAAACTAACAATAAGTGCTTAAAGAAATATTACATTACAGAATTCGTATTTTCTAAAAGAAAATCAAAATTTTAAAGTAATTTATTTTAAAATTTTCATATTTTTATTATTTTAGTGTATTTTAATTTTCCATTGTTTTAAGTAACATTATATTTTTTATTATTTATAACTCTACATAATACTTTACTTTTTTATTATAGAAAATTGAATTTCAATTTTGAACGTTTTCAAATTTTATATATTTATTCATTTTTTATTTTTAATATGCATATTTCCAAGTTTTTCAAAATGATTACTTTTCATACTATTTAACCGTCCCACAACATTTTTTTTCTCTTATTTTAAGTATTTCTTGTATTATTATTAGTTTTTTTAAAATTTTTACTATATTAGTTTAAACTTTTAAAAAAAATTAAGACGTTTGTTATATATATAAACTATTTAAAAGATTTATATTACAAAATCGAGTTCCATACATTTTTAAAATATCCCACATTTTAACTATTTTAAACTTGTTTGTAAGTTTTTCCAAGTTTTATATTTTAAAGTTTTCTATATGTTGTCAAGCACCTTGTGATTCGATGCATCATTGAGATTCTCCCAAGGAGAAGGTTACATGTTCGAAATTCATCCTAGTCAACGAAGTCAAGAGACTAGAAAGTCCAGTCCAAAAAAAGTTTTCTATATGTTGTTTTCTATTTTATAGTTTTTTTAACAATGTAAATTCATTTTCTTTTTTCTTTTTAAATTTGATTCACAATTATAAAAAAATTATTAATTTTTTAAATGAGTATTTGATTTTTTAAGTACGACTTCATTTGTATAGAATTAAATTTTTTCTAGGCAGTATCATCTTTTTGAATTTTTATGTTTTTGTATTTTAAAATAAAAAAGTCAGTGGCCAATTTTGAATGATCTACGAATGATCTAGGCAGTCCATATTTTTACGGATGATCTACGAATTTTGGAAACAGTACTTCAAAGTTGTTCATACGGATGGTCTATTTATGACACAAAACCTTCGCAGAGTTTATATTGGGATAAGGCTCAAATTAGTGACGCTAGTGATATTATTTTAACTTTTCAAACTGTTTGTGAAGTTTTCCCAAAAAAAAAAATCGGTGGAATCCGTTTCTCATTAAACATTACATTTTTCATTTGGTAATTATACTCCCTTTTATTTTATATTTCATTTTTGGACTATTTTTTTATTAATTCCATTTTATTCTATTTTAATACATAATCTAAAATTAATCTTAAGTAGTACTTATTGTTATTACAAAAGGAAATAGTGGCATGAAATATTTTATAAGTAGTACTAGTAAAAAAAACCGGCCGAAGCAAGGGCGCTTGCTCCCCCATGCCCCCGCCTAGCTCCTCCACTCTTTGTAGTCCTCATACCTTCTAATACTTCATATGGAATAACAAAATTAAGAGGTCATTTGGCAACAATGTTTTCCAGCTTATCAGTCAGTTTTTTTACCAAACACATAATTTTTGATTTCGCGCGCTGAATTGTGTAATAAGCATAAAAAGTAAGGTTGAAGTTAATTTTCTGATTGTATTGGCTGAGATTACTGTAGATGATCATTTTAGTTATTTTTACATATAATGTTTTCTTTATTTTATTAATAAAATATATTTTAAAAATAATTTTTCCTTAAATCAGAAGAATCAGCCAATGCAGTCCCTTTAGTTAGAACTTCATAAATTTCAGCTGAATCAACCGAATCAGCCACTTTTCGTGCTACCAAACGGACTTTAAGTTTACGTAATAACAGTATGTGTTTTTAACTATCAAGGTGGGAAAAAAGGATAAGGAACATCTTCACTGAATTCAACGCACTCTATGGCAACCTATAGTAGACCCAGTAAAAAGGAGAACAACTTAAGTTTGATCCTTCTACTTACAAACTGTATGACTGCCGTGGTTGAGGTCTTAATTTTTTGTTTTATCAAATGATTTATCAAAACTACACAGATCCTAGACAAACTACATCTCTCGACCTATATATATAGGTTAGGTGATTAGGATGTATACTTATGCCTAGTTGTGTAAAGTTGCTTGAATTTGGTATTTATTCCTAAAATGGTATTCAAATAAGTGTAACCAACCGCCGTATATATGCAGATTTTTCAACATTTTCAATGAATAAAGTCCACTGATTACTGACAAATATTTCTAATCATTTTTTTGAAGATAAAATGATAGACCAGTCGACTCTGATTTTCACAAGACCAATCTATATAAAAAGCACTCTTGTATGAATAACTACCATAAAAATATAGTAAATTATTGACACCCATGTTTGGGCTCATGAAAATATGGAATTGCTGTTTTCCTCTACTGTTTGGATCCTGTTGAGTAAATGTGATGATATTCATGAGAAGGTTTCTTCCATATGCAACAAGAACTCTGTGTTTTGTTTTGCCAAAGGGTGGAAGAGAAGACCCCAGATGTTCGGCTAGCAGATATATACACTGGGGGTTCCTACTATTTTCACTCTATCTCTTGGCAGAGGATTAGTCATAGCATATTGGGTATAAGCTTGCAGGTTCCTGGTTGAAATCAACTCTAATCTTGACCCAAAACTCATGACACTAATCAAACATATCATCTCCCGTGTCAACTCATGACCTACAAATATGAGACGGAGTATTTTATCCACCAAACAAAGACCTATTGGAAATGTTTTATTGCACATACAAGGTTATCAAAACATATGTCAACTACTGTGTAAGATCCGTATGTGTATCCCAAAGCTGTATCACTTAGCCCTAATTCCATATATGAGAATATTTATCTTGGAAAAATATATTAAGAATATAATGCTAGGATATATCAAAGTCCTAATCATTACATCTAAAGAGCTTACCAACATAATTTCTAGGAAGAAGGATAAGAAAATGCGGCCAGGCAAAACCTTATATACGTGGGAAGAAGTTAGAGTAAGCAATTTGTAGCAACTAAGTTTGTTTTACTATGTCTATAAAGTGACTTAGCTTAGAAATTAAGACGGGCAAAAACATTCTTTACAATCCAATTTAAAAAAAAAAGGATATACTATGCTCACTGGTCACCACACTATTTGTTAGTTGGCTTATACTATGCTCACCGGTCACCACACTATCTGTTAGTTGGCTTAAGTGGTGTTGTTGACGGAAATAACAAGTACAAGGGAAAATATGCCAACAGTCACAAAAATAACTAATGTATGAATAAATTACATGTAGGAGGGAGGGGTACATCTGAAAAATGACTAGTAACAAAATTGAGAAATCTAATTGAGCACACTAAAAATGGCCCAAGTTCTCTCTTCTTTGGAGTGCTGCTTGAATGTTGCTCAGGGGTAGGCTTGAAATACATACAAACACAATGGGCTTGGTGGCCCAACCTGGTTCACTTAACATTCATTCTTAAATGCTCAACTCTCATCAGTTTAAGAGGAAATCTGTGTAAAAGAGAAAGCACGTAAATGCGGGAGGGGATACCAAACCTGCATAGAGGGCAAGTAATATAACCGGTTTCAGGATGTTTGCTATGATAACCTGGGACCTTAAACCAGCCTGCAATGCATTTTGCATGAAATATGTGGTAACATGGCAGCAATATTGCCTCCTTGTGGCTCTCCTTGTGGATATGCTTCTTAGGATTAGGGAAAAGTTCATCCATACATTGGAGGCGAATCATGAGGCACTGCGGTTCGTACTTGCCAAAACAAATTGCACATGTTTTTCCTTCATCCTCTTTTGCACCAACGCCAAGTTGGAAGAAATCGTAGCCATCCGGCACTACAATTGGCAGAGGCATTGGAGATGACGGGTCGAAAACTTCCTCCTCCGGCTGCAACAGGAAATCTTGATACGGGGTCGGGGCACCTAGTAGCAATGTTACAGAGAGTTGTATTCTTACAGCAACCCCAATTGAGAATAACTTTGAGTTTGAGTTGGGGTTGTCATTGATGAGAAGAATAAGCCGATCACGACATCCCTTTACCAATACGCTTGCCAAGTCCTTCAGTCCGTCTCGGGAGACTACGGGCTCAAGGGGGGAGAGTACTTTATCCGCAATTAAAGTCATCAGTTCTTCTTCTTCTTCTTTTGCAGATCCTCCCCTGAGGATCTTCTCCAACTCAATATTCTCCGCACATTTGCCGCTCACGTCAACATTCTCCTCAATCCTATACATAAGTTGCTTGTTCCAGTCGGATTCTTTCATATCCAACCACCATGTCTTGCTATAGGAGGTAGTCCGGTCCAAATACATCCTCACCAGAGACGAATTTTTAAGATCAGCACCGTCTTCTTCTATGTCCAGGTCCCATAGCAGGTCGTACTCCACTGCCATGCTTATCGACCGAGGATGCCCAGGATACTACTACTTAGATGTCTCTGTTTATCGCACGAAACGCCTAACCCTGGTGCCCCTCATTATAAATCGGAGTCTTTTCCCATTCTAATTTAGTACGGAGTAACATCAAAATCAAAAAAATTGCCTAAAATAAGTTCAAAAAAGTTTGTATATTTTAAAATAAGTTTATTTTTTTTTTAAAAAAAGTAATTACTGTAGTATTTTCTCATTATCATATTTTAAATATGACAATATTTTTCACTATTGGAATTAATTACTCATATTTAGAAAATAAAAATATGACATTTTAATCTCGAAATTTTCAAATACTTCCTCCGTTCTATAATTCTTGCAACATTGTGATTTTTACACTATTCACAAATCTTACTTTGACCATGATTTTCTACTAATATACATAATCAAATTATTACGCATAAAATGTTATTGAACTCTTATCAATGTGAATTTCCAAAATATCAACTTTTTATAATGTCTACTAATACATAATTAAATATAATTATAATCAAAGTTGTGTATTGACAAACGTGAAAGTCAAACTGTTGCAAGAATTATAGAACGGAGGATTAAATATTAGGAGCTGCTGTCAAACAGTTCAAAGACTCAACGCTTGAAGGGTCATAAAATCCTAGAACAATTTGAAGGGCTTTAATAGAGTCATAGAGATTGTTGTGAAATTTTGGAACCATACTCGTTATTGTCCCTAGGGTGGACTCGAGCCGGGTCCTAGTGGTGGGCTTTTTTCTTCAACACTTTAGCCCCGTATGGGCCGTGTTTGTTCCAGTACCGATTCCGGTCCGGGTCTAAACAGTACTAGGTCAGACTTGAAAAATCGAGTTAGAAGCCTGACCATATTAACATTGCTATGCCTAAACAATATCGGGCCGGTCCAATCTGATTAGCAAGCAATATACATTTCTGTTTGAATAAACACATGGAAATATAACCAATTTAATCACATTTTTATTCAAATATAAATGTCTCGGGATATATGGAAATTTCTGTTTAATTTCTTGAAAAGCATATCGGAATGGACGTACACGCGGTCAGTGTGGTGCTGAAGTACAGCGCGACAACCGCCGCTCTATATACCACCCCGTATTGTATTCCCTCTCCCAAACTTCCCACTCCACTCATAACCCATTTTCGGATTCTAACCGCCATAGCCTCTAACCATTTTTGCCGGGGCTCCGTCCACTTTTCATTTCCAGAATGGACGCTCGCCGCCGTCTCAGCAAGCCTCTTAACCAGCCCAAGCATTCAGACGGCGGTGAACGGCAAAAGCTCCATAAACAGCACCACCAGTATCTCATAGTCCCCTCCCAGAAGGCCTCGGACGCCCTTCCCCTGCCTTTATATTTGATCAATGGGCTGTTCTTCACCATGTTCTTCACTGTGATGTATTTCCTCCTTGTCCGGTGGAGGGAGAAGATCCGGAACTCCACCCCTCTCCACGTCGTCACCGTCTCGGAGTTGGCCGCTTTGGCTTCGTTGGCCGCCTCGGTGATTTACCTTCTCGGATTCTTCGGAATAGGGTTTGTGCAATCTTTTATCTACAGGGCGAACCACGATGCCTGGGGCCTTGAAGGCGAGACCAATGAGCAATATATAAGATTGGAGGGTGACAGCCGCGGCGCGCCTTTCGCCTCCGCAACCACTCGCAGGTGCCCTGTTTCTCCACCACCTACTCGACAAAATGTCTCAAAGATTTTGGAGAAACCCGCTCCTATAATCACACCGGCAGAATCAGAGGAGGATGAAGCGATCATAATGTCTGTTGTGGAGGGGAGAACGCCGTCATATTTGTTGGAATCAAAGCTTGGAGATTGTAAGCGCGCGGCTTCAATTCGCCGTGAGGCTTTGCAGAGGATCACTGGGAAGTCACTGGAGGGACTCCCATTGGAAGGGCTGGATTACGAATCAATTCTCGGGCAGTGCTGTGAGATGCCCGTTGGGTACGTGCAAATACCAGTGGGAGTTGCGGGCCCACTGTTGCTCGATGGGAGCGAGTACTCTGTGCCTATGGCCACCACCGAAGGCTGCTTGGTGGCTAGCACAAACAGAGGTTGCAAGGCCATCTTTGCTTCCGGTGGAGCTTCCAGCGTGGTTCTGAGAGACGGAATGACCAGAGCTCCGGTGGTGAGGTTCCGCACCGCCATGAGGGCCGCTGAGCTGAAGTTCTTCGTTGAGGATCCCCTGAATTATGAGACTCTTGCGGTTATCTTTAACAAGTAAAGTGGACTTCTGTTAATCTTTTTGTTTACCTCTGTCTATAGTACCCCTTTTTATTCACCTTCTAATCTTCTATTTTTAACTTATACTCGTACTTCATATATCTACTACGTACTTTTATTGGCTTTGCAGTTTTTGTATCTTTTTTATTTTATTTCTGGTCATCTAAAAAGTTGGGATGTTTATTTCTCGTAAGTAAATAAGAGGAGTATACTTTCTCTGTTTTCTAACAACTTTTGTCTGTAAATTTTAGAAAATGTTAAAGACGGAAAGTTGGAAACTTTCTCTTTTCCTTTTGTTTTTGTTTTTGTCAGGCTGGACTAGATTCTTCATTTGTTTTTCACACTAGAGAGCTATAATGTTCTTTCACTAGGAAAAAACTTTCTTTCTATTTCATATTTTATTTTGTTTGATTGTGTCATTTGTGTGTGTGTGTTTGTGTTTGCAGATCAAGCAGATTTGCCAAATTACAAAGCATTCGATGTGCAATAGCAGGAAAAAATCTGTACATGAGATTCAGCTGTGGTACTGGTGATGCCATGGGGATGAACATGGTCTCCAAGGGTGTGCAAAATGTTCTTGATTTCCTTCGAAGTGAATTCCCTGACATGGATGTCCTAGGAATTTCTGGTATTTCACTTGTTTTTGTTTTTGTTTTTGTTTTTTGTTGTTAGAAATCATATGATGGCTTTGGCATTTCAATAAAAGGGAAACTTCACAGTTCACACTCGACCAGACTAGTAATGTCAATCCAACATGGCATTTCAAATCTTGACCTGTTCCTAAATGTATTTAATTTAATAGTTCTACTTCATACTTCACTGTGAGTTTGTGATTAGTTTAGTATGCCTGGACCAGAGTACCAACAATTTGAATGTAGTTTTGAGATAGAAGATCTCTTTCCCCTTTAGATCAGTTATCCCATCTTGTCATATGCTTAGAACTCTTTGATTGAGGTATCATCTCCCTCTTTTATAAAGGGCATTTGGTCTATGCGTATTGAGTCGAACCGTTCATGTCCTCCTAAATTGAGTGGGAAAAATAGGTGTTAATTGTTTTTTTCTAATTTTTAGTTGTATTAGCAAGTCAATTGGTGGTAAACAAGTTGAAAATATCACAGAAGTATAGAACTAATGATGGTGCGATTAACATCTTCGATCCGTAGACCGTAGATTTCAGCACAAAAATGTTACATTAACATATGGTTGTAAATAAAAATTGTTTTTAGGGAACTTTTGCTCTGACAAGAAGCCTGCTGCGGTGAACTGGATTGAGGGGAGAGGCAAATCAGTTGTTTGTGAAGCAATAATCACCGAAGAGGTGGTGAAGAAGGTTTTGAAGACAGAAGTTGCGTCTCTTGTTGAGCTGAACATTCTAAAAAACCTCACTGGCTCCGCCATGGCCGGTGCCCTTGGCGGTTTTAATGCTCATGCCAGCAATATTGTGTCGGCTGTTTTCATAGCCACGGGTCAGGACCCGGCTCAAAACGTGGAGAGTTCTCAGTGCATCACGATGATGGAGGCTGTGAATGGTGGCAAGGACCTTCATATCTCTGTAACCATGCCGTCCATTGAGGTATATACATTGTATACCATTTGATTTTTTTTATCCTTTCTTAAGAAAAAAGAAAAATAAATACTGATAGCTGCACGTACAATTGGATTATTATTATATATTCAGATCTGAGTTTAGTTGAAATGTCTAAAGTCAGTGTAAGTGGGACTGCATTGAAATACACTATTTCTCTGTACTGAGTAGGAACAATCTCCTCACTTTCCTCTGAAACTTCAAGGTGTTTCAAGTAACTCATGTGCTGTTATTGCTGCATGTCCACCACTTGTCCTCTTTAAGGATTTCTCTTTTCTTTTTGATTTGTTTCTTGATGGAAGTATGGGACCACTCAACCAGTCAACTAGGCCTGTCATCTAGTAGAAACCCATGCCTGCCTGCCTCATGGCCGTCATGGGGTACTCTAGTTTTTATTGCTATTTTTAATTTTTTTTTGAGTAATTCTTGGGGTACAATAAAGTACACAAAGTCTCTGTACACAAATATGTTAGCATAAAATTCTGCCGCTTCTCAAATGAGTTGAACACAGGCAATTCGGTACAAGTTTAATTTTGTGTACTACAAAAATTTTCCTCTTTTAAATACTTGAAACTAAAGAGGACACGTATGCATGGTGCAGGTGGGAACAGTTGGGGGTGGAACTCAGCTGGCATCCCAGTCAGCATGCTTGAACTTACTAGGAGTGAAGGGTGCTAACCAAGACTGCCCAGGATCAAATGCCAGGCTCTTGGCCACCATTGTAGCAGGTGCAGTTCTTGCAGGGGAGCTATCACTCATGTCTGCCATCTCAGCAGGGCAGCTCGTCAAGAGTCACATGAAATACAACCGATCTAACAAAAACGTTACCACATTGGTATCCACCCCTTAATATGATTATAATAATGGAGGCATAACCCCCACCCACCCCCACCATGCCCTTTCTTCATTCCCATCCTCTGTAACTGATTAAAATAATGACAGTACTGATAGTTACTAGTAATTATTTTGTGGAGGGATTTAGTGAGAGGAAAGAGTGGTGGCCAAAGGCATTCCATGTGGAAGCCATGCTGTGTTCATTGAACGTACATAGCCACGTTAGTATTTTTTTTCTTTCTTAAATTAGTTCGTTGTGTAAAGTACTCCGTACGTGTGCAAGTCTATATAAGAAGTTCATTTGGGCAGACGGGTCAAGAGACTCAAGATTAGGGGTAGATTCGGCTCAAACGGTTCGGTTCCAACTAAAATCAAATGTAGAATCAAAGTAAAAAGTTTGGTTCGATTCGGTTTGGTTTTATGTTCAAAAATTTAAATCACAGTTTGTTCAGTTCAATTTATTTTGGTCTGGTTTTGGTTTTTACCAAAATATTTTTGTTAATTAGAAAAAAAGCCCTACGTAATGGGAAAACAAAAACAAAAAAACTATATCAAATCAGTATTAATAGTTGCACAATTCAAAAACATACATAAATAAAAAAAAAAGAGACAAATGCACTTCAAAGCAATGAATTAGAAAGTGCATGTATACCAATTTAAACATTTTCTAAATTAATTAAATGCGAGAGTTTATTTGTAAATTATATACAATGTAGTCGCAAGTTAAAATTTTATTAGTAAACAACTTATTCTACTTTCTTTTTAAACACATATTTATATTCTAAAGTTTCACGTTTTTTGCTATATTGCACTACGTATTTACGTATAAAGTATAATATATATTAATACATATTTGTTCAATATAAAAACTATGTGATAACAAACATATATACATAATATATAATACATCAATAAAATATCATTGTCATGCAACAACAAGCAAAATGTAAAGTACGATTTAATATATCAACATATTAGTATTACATCAAAACACTTAAGTGTATGTACAAGTGTTTCACTTAATTAAACCATAAATATTAAATGTCAATATCTTGCAAATCATAATAAATCTAGTATCAAACATTAATTTTCTAGAATTAAGATTTAAGAACTAAAAAAAATGTTATCCTTAATAATTAATAAATATAATAACTAGTTTTAAAAAGTTCGATTTATTTGGTTCGGTTCGCTTTTGAGATGTGCAAACCAAAATTGAAACCAAACAATTACGGTTCGATTAGGTTTTTTGAGTTTGGTTTCGGTTTTCTTATGGTTCAGTTATTTTTGCCATCTCATTTTGGTGAAATAGATACCAATAATCTATACATTTATACATTTTTAAAAAATAAATCCTACTTGAAAAGCTCACAATAATAATCCCAATTAGTTAATTGTTTTACAAAAATAAATCGAGTGCCAACAGTTTTAAGCTTTCCATTATTATTTTTAAATATATTGAAGCAAATATATATATATATACACACACATTGACAATATTATATTCGAGTTTAATCTTATTTCTACTAAAAATTTAATTTAATATTCAAGATTTTTCATAAAACATAATAGAAATGTTTGAACACTACATATTACATATTGTTCAAATTATTTATTCTCTTTCATTCCATATCAATATTTTATTTATATTCATTTTCATAGTAGGTTTAATTATACTACATCAAATATTAACAAAAAATATGTAGAATATTGAGTATATAATACATATATTTCTATTATGTTTTATGAAGAATAATGTTAAATATTAAATTAAGTTTATCATAGAAAAAGGTTAAACTCAAATATAATATTATTAATTGCCATGCATGTTTTTTCTTTGATATATTCAAATTAAAAAAAGTTAATGGGAAAGTTAACACTGTTAACACTTGGATTATTTTTGTGAAACAGTTAGCTAGTAGGGATTATTTTTGTGAAATTTATGAGTATGACTTTTTTTGTAAAATGTGTGAAGGGACAAGGGACAGAGTCGATCTACTACCGAATACCGATTGCGGCCAAAGAGATATCAGCGTGAGAAGGGCTGGGGCGAGGCTCTGCGACAAGAGACAACGCCGATCTACAGAAGACACTACCGGTGGCGGTCGAATCATCCCAGATTTGACGAACGGGAATATGGGGATTCGCGGAGAGCATCTGTGCGTGGCCGCTGGGGTTTTAAGGCATCGCCAGCTATCCTTGAACGAGAATCATTCCGTTCACGTTTCAGTGGCTCCCGCGGAAGGCCTGATACCTGGAGGTCGAGCGGATGGATTCCAACTGATGGACACAGGCAGAGCCATAGGCCTTTCTCCTCCGGCTACCGGCACAAAGGCCAGAGAAAGTACCGCTCCAATCAGCAGCAGCAGGGGACTAGACAGTTTGAGGTTACATTTGAAAGCAAAATTTTTCGATTTACTGTCTTTGATTGTAACGTGCTGCAAATTTTTGAAAGAAAGAATGGAATTACATCTTCTATTGACCGTGAGATTACACAATCCATTTCAGGTCTCTTATTACAAGCTGATATTGATAAATTAGCCTCATTAGATTATGCATTGGATTTGGTTTCTGTTGAGGATCAAAGCTCCATGCTAAATCATGAATCCGACCTTAAAGAATTTTTTCAGTCAGCCTTGACAAATGGGGTGAACTCACTTTCTCGCTATCTACTTCACGAATTTGAGAGACTCCTTGTCTCTACTTTGGGTATTCATCCTCTAAGAATGGAGGATCCATCGGTGATAGCTAATCAGGAAAAGATTGAGGTTTTGAATCCAGGCGACTGGGATATTAGGTGTGGGCTTTATGGATGGGATAATATTGAATGCAATCCTTCAGAAACTTTTGACTGTGAAGGGCTTTATGGAGATCATCACCCCACCTTTTCAGGGGATGAATTTCTTGGTCACGTCTCAGAGAACGAGAAGAGGGTTCCTATTTCGACGGTGGAAGACCTTTGGGATTCTGATGCGAATGAGACTATTTTCCAAAAAGCTCTTCTAGTCACACGAGACAACTGCTTACCTACAGAAAATCAGAACACTCAGAAACAGATGTATAAAAAGAATCAACGATCGCATCTTATGAAGACTAGATCTCAATCTCGAATAGAGCTTTGAAGTGTTGTTCGGGACTCGTTCAATTAGGGAGGGAGAGTTCTCTTATTTTTACTTTGGGTTGGGCATCTTTTATTTTAGTTCTATTTTTGTTGTTTCTACTTGCATTTTCTTCGTTATCTTGTTATACTTTTATTTGTTTCTTCAATAAAATTTTCCTTTTCTGTTAAGTTTAAAAAAAAAAGATATTATTAGTGTCAATTTTGTCTTATAATTAAAGTTGCCTTCAATAAGAGCATAAACGTTGTAAATCCAAAATTATGAGTACAATATTCTTTTCTCCGTGCTTGGAAAATTTGGAATATTTATGTATTATGGATGCTCATTAGTTCATAGCTCGAGACCATGTGTACCGACCTATATGATGATTGTAACCCTAGCTCCCCTTCTATATATACACCCTCATATATGAATGAAAGTATGCTTTTGATTCTCGGTTTATAGCACGTTATCAGCACGATAGTTTTTCCCATATTCTTTCCCATTCTTCTAACAGCCGCAACTTATGAACAATTAGACTAGCTAGATCCGTTCTTACGCTTCCATCTGTCTACATGGTCATGTTGATGAGGAAGGCCGACTTAGAATCTTCTCTTTCCATGATTTACATTCTTCTTTGCAACCGTCATTGGCCTCCACCAAAGAATAAGTATTTATATACTTTTTTTATTTGAGTTAATATATATGATAATCCTTTGTATTATCACATGCAGTGCTTGATTCTAAACATACTGTGCTACTATACGTCCCTCAATGTGCTAAATTGGTCAATATCTTGACCCTATTGATAAATTATTTTATTTTGGGATTGTCTGAAGATGACTTCAATTGAACATATGAATAAAGCTTTATATGAGTGTGTGTATAAGTAGGAGGAGGGCTGTTCCTGTACATATGGATGTACGGGAGGCTCCGTACGGACAAAGCCATCAGAGGCCCTTCCCGGTAGAATTTTTTGATGAATTTATTTTAGCATCTTCTTCATCAAGTCTAGTTTATCCATACCAAATTTCAGCTCAAAATTCAACCGGGAAGGCAATCAAACAAATTCTTGAAATATACTGCACATTATATGTGCGTAGAATGCTCCATACATTTCAAGAATTTATTTGACTGTCTTCCCGGTCGAATTTTGAGCTGAAATTTGGTATGGATAAACTAGACTTGATGAAGAACATGTTCAAAAAATTTCATCAAAAAATTCCACCGGGAAGGGCCTCTGATGGCTTTGTCCGTACGGAGCCTCCCGTACATCCATATGTACACGATCATTCCTCTAAGTAGGAGTGTGTGTATTTTTATGCGGAATATACGCCAATATCCTCTGCTACTTTTATTTAGCATGAATACATTTTTGGATAAAGTAAAATTGCGTATCTTGATTTTTCCTCACGAAATTTCCAATTCAATATGGGTTGAATTACTCCGTATATTCTTAGATATACATTATCCATATCCTTGTACGTATATGAATTATGGTTGAACATAGGAAGTAGTTTAAACCTAAAATAAGTATGAAGTTAGGAAATACGTAGTACAATTCAAAAAGCAAATTTGTGAATATTTGGAATTCTATGAATATTTGGTAGTTGTAGACTTGTACGTGTTGTATCTTCTTACCCCAGTTATGAGACCTCTTATGATTTTTTTAATACTACAATATGAGAGTTATGATAGATGCTTTGATTTACGATGTTCACTAACTAAAGATGTCAGATGTGTAATGTACTACGTACTATATGAGTAATGTTTGTGCATTAGTGATTATCTATACCTACGTAACGTTTTTGTTTTTACTTTATGATGATGATATGATGTTGGAATCAAATGTGAAAACTATGAAATCATATTTAGTGTAATAAGAAAAGAGACTTCAAAAACTGGATCTGTTGTTAATGGGAATGGGATAGTGAAGAATTGAGGTCGGTCCAAAGTCTCAAGGAATAAGAAATAAATTGATTATTTTATTAAATAAAGAATTCAACGCATTTACTAGTCAATTGGAAAATATAACTCCAATGTATTTATCAATTAATATCAGTTACAGGAGAATATTTACTTGCTAAATTAATGACATATATTAAATTCAATTAGCACATATATTCATCATTAGTCATTAGAGCATCTTCAATGGTAAAACGTTAACGGTGCATACGTGGCATGGAAAATAACCAATTAAAAAACAATAAATACAATATCTCTCTCCTTATTTGAAGGATCTTACACCATTTTGGTAAGTTTTTCTCTACAATGTCAAGCACAATGTCTAGATGTAGACATTGTGATTGACATTGCAGACAAAAACTTACCATAAACACATAAGACCGTGGAAAGAAGAAGAGAGATATTGTATTTATTGTTTTTTAATTGGTTATTTCTCATGCCACGTATGCACCGTTAACGTTTTAGCATTGGAGATGCTCTTACTATCATTTATGGCATTTTTAAAGTATCAAATTACTATCTATTTTAAACTAGACTACTAGATTGCGAGCATTGAAAAACTAAAAGATATATAATTGCATTTCAAAGTTCATGCGTACGGATGCGTTCCTGGGATATTATATGGCCTTATTCTCGTGAAGTAGCATAAGTATCAGTGAAGGTATGTAGATTAAAATCTGTTATTTGCACATTGCATATATAATTATGATTATAATTATGATTTAATATTGAGGAAATCATTTTCTCTCATGAAGTAGCACAAACGTATACGAAGTATATTGTTATTATTATTATTGAAGAGAATTAAATGCTCATAAAGAACCAGTATAAAATAACATTAATTATTCATTTCCATACAACATATTGAATCGTAACCCTAAATTAAAGTTTGCACATACACAACGGTTAGTCATATATTGCATTCTATTTAGCATGAATATAATGTATATTCATATACATGCTTGATATTATTTTATTATATATAAGCATGAAAATAATTTCCAAGAATGCTTTTACGTATCAATGGCGTGGCAGAAAGCATAGATACGTTCTATCCCTTTCTGTTTGAAGAATGTTACCTGTTTGAAATGTAGTGACATTGAATATATCTTAATGCATACGGAGTATGATTTATTTGCTAAGGCCATATTAATTGCTAATTCAGGTTATATGTAATGCTATACTAGTATATGTTATGTATATGATTCATTCATACTCACGTGAATGATATAACTTACCGGAAGGTCATCTTAGAAAATTAAATACTAAAAAGCTTAATTACACCTGAAGTGTTATTTCATATCTCAATAGGTGTAGAAATTATATCATATCTATGTATAAAAAAGTAGATAATATTAATGCAATTATGTGTAATGATTTGATCAAGTTAATCTACTCGTGAGGGGGAGATAAAATTTCAGAAATGGAAATATGAAATATAACAAAGTGCCATAAGTCACTACTATAAGAGCATAAATTTGATAAACAAGTGGGTGTGTTGTGAACTTGAAGTTCCCACATTGCTTAACCACGAGATAGTGTGTGTTTATAAGCGGGGCAGTAAGGTCCTGATGTACCAAAGCGAAAAAATATGTTATTTTACGTCAAAGTAAATTTTAAGATATTCACTCAAGTGAATCCGTTCAAGACAAGTGTTTTAAGTGCTCTCAAAATGAATCTGATTATTTGATAACTAATATGTTACTTCAAGAGTAGCATTAACTAATTATTAGACTCTCTATATGCACCTCTAGATGTGTGATTTGTATTATTTTAGTGATAAATTGACTTTGTCTTATGAGATGATGATATAATGCCTGAAACATTTATATACTTGTGACATAGAGCCCAACACAAACTTTTGATAAAATCATACACACTTAGAAATTTAATCATATTGTAAGGATAAAACGTAATGAAAGCACAAATTATATTTATAAACAAGTTGTGCACATAAATAATAATAATGATAAAATCTCAAACATTGAGTGTAAGCTAAAAGAAGCTACTCAAACACTGCGAAGTACTAGTTTGAAAAGTGATCATACTTATAGGGTGATAGTTTGAGACCATACCAACGCAGTGTAAATCGTGTTTCCTTAATATCTGCCAGTAGCAGAATTCTCCTTGTACTATATTATATATACTTGAATAATTTAAACACATGTTGCATGAAGTTTAAGATTATTGTTTTTGAATAAATGATCAGTTTAAGGTCAACCCAGGTTTAAACCAAATGCCGTATAAGACATCCAATATATAAATACTTCTTAGACAAGAAAATGACAAGACAGTCTATTCTCCTAATATTTTTCAAAGTGGATCCATGGGAGTGAAGTGAACTTGAAATTTCACAATGTGAGTTAATAATATTAAGTTTGGTCTCAAGATATGCTCTCCTGATATGTCTACATATAATGAGTGGTATAAGACCATTTTGCCGGCTTCTATGAAATATAGTGAAGAGCATAAGGTAACCCACAAAATATATCTAGCATTATAAGATGAACGTTTCGCCTCAGATAAACTGCTAGAAAGTTGCCTAAATATATGAAGAAAAATCTAGTTTATATTAATTCGGCATTTTTATATTAACAACTAACCCCCAAAGTTTACACGTTAAAATGAGCCAAAGTGTGCCAACATTGAAAACCCCATTTTTGAAATGATGTACCTAAACCCCAGAAGTGGCTCCATATGTATGTAAATCGTTGTTCAAGAACATTATGGCACATTTCCCTACATTAGGGGGAGATCATAAAGGCATGAACATAATTATATTTTGGAATGTCGAGAAATAATTCTAGTAGGATTGAATGATATACAAAGAGAAACGTGTAAAATATTATGAGTAAACTGTCAAAGTGACTGAAAGAAATGATTATAAAGTTTGAGCTCAACCAATGCATGAAGCATGGTTAGACGGTCATTATGTGAAAATAAAACCGGTTTTTATTACGTTAAGTCATTTATGCCTCTACAAGAGGATGATATAAGTTAAATGTTGCAGCTGATAAGTTTTAGAAACTACATGATACAGAACATGAGTTTTTCCTTTATGGCTCATATAGAGGACTTTGATGATACGAGAATCATATTGATTGAGATTGACGTCAATGATTTATTATTCTGAAACCATCGATTCATAATCCATAATAATAAAGTTTGGCCAGACGAAATATGATGGACCTGTAGTCCTAAAATTTTGTGAATTATGATCGATGTTTATGGATGAGAAAATATTTTGGGCCCGAAGTCCCACAAATGAAGATATTGTGTACGTGGGGTGCCAATATTTGAGATTGAATGATTTTGAGATTACATTCCTGTTATAGTTTGAAGTTCTGTAAA